GAGCCCTTTTATTGGGCATGCTTTTTAAAGCTTCCTGAACTTCAACTGTTGTCAGTGGTGAGTCCAAGGTCAATCTTTCACTATCTGATAATGTAAGAAGGATTATTTTATCCAGAAATTGCTTGATGTCATTGTCTGATTGATTTATCTGCATAAAGATTTATAGAAATCTCGGATATTGTTGTTAAAGCTGAAGTCTGTAAGTTTTTAAAAATCACTTTTTTGTCATATTGGCTAAAACTGTCCCTATGCCCAGACAGCAGTACATGTGATATGTAACCTGTGAAAAAAATGCTTCAATTGGTCCTGCATACTGCCTGTAATTCAATCTGGAAAGAATAATTCGGGACGAGTCAAAACAACCAATCACAGCCAGAGGAGCGTCTGATGGAGTGTCAATCACAGCTCACACACGCTGAATCCCGCACCCCCCCTCACCGCTTAACCTGCAGCTGCCGCCCGGCTGCCGCAGTCAGGAGGACGCGCGTGGAAGTCATGGCGGAGCGACAGCCACCACCGAAAGAGAAACTGCCCTTACTGCCCCTGCCGACAACTGCTTACACGACAAACTTCGGTATAACCAGCATCTTATATCTAGCTGCTTGGAGGTGAGTGTTATCGCTCATACCGGTTCACACTCCATGCTGCGTACGCTGCTTGGACGCTTCTGGTCGCATGCGGTAGCCGCGCAGATGCTGTGAGAGGGGTGGGGCTTGGAGGTGGGGTATAAGTGAAGAAGAGAGGGTGGGGGAGTGGCGTGAAACCTGTTTTTCTTCAAATTTTCAGTCGAAGTCTGCTCTCTTCTCTATGTTACAGACTGCAGCTTCAATACATTCTGGATCATACCATTTTTTTAATTATTGGCTTGTGCTTACCTGAGTGGATTTGACTTGAACTACACGTATGCTGCCATTTTACTTACGCACAGCTTTCGCAAGATCTCAGCCGCTCATTCCACCTCCCATTAGAGTGCCTCCTCCTTCTTTATAAATTCATTTTCTTTTTAATTAGTTTTTTTTATGTCTTAATAAAGGTCATTGGGTGGATCGGGCAGCGCCCTGTATTGGCCAGCCACCACTGCTTAAATGTTGTTGTTGTTTTTTTTAAACTTATAGCAAAAGCTTAGAAAAATTTTACTTTCATCAATAATTTCAGCCAAGAATTCATCTTTATTTTTATTGATTTATATGTTTATTCCCATCAATATATGCTAATTTGCAACTCCTTTTTTAAGATCTTTCAGGAAAAATGTTTACCTTCCCACAACAAA